ACACAGACACAGACACAGACACAGACACAGACACAGACACAGACACAGACACAGACACAGACACAGACACAGACACAGACACAGACACAGACACAGACACAGACACAGACACAGACACAGACACAGACAGACAGACAGACAGAGACAGACAGACACAGAGACACAGAGACACAGACACACACAGAGACACAGACACACAGACACACACAGACACACACAGACACACAGAGACACACAGAGACACACAGAGACACACAGAGACACACAGAGACACAGAGACACACACAGAGACACACACAGAGACACACACACAGAGACACACACACAGAGACACACACACACAGAGACACACACAGAGACACAGAGACACAGAGACACACAGGCACACACACACACACAGACACAGACACAGACAAAGACACACACACACACACACAGACAGAGACACACACACACACACACGACACGAAAGTTTAACCGTAAGTACAACCAAGGGTTCGACGGGGTGTGGAAGTCTGCCTTTCTCAACCGCTGCAGGTTTTGAGCTCTGGTGTGCAGTTTAGCGGTAATAGGGTCTTAGAGCTTCATATTCTTATGTTGGCGAAGCGGGGCTGATGAGCTGAGTTTCTTCCAAGATTCAGCAAAGTGAAATATGGAATGCGCGTAAACGTGGCGCGATGAACTCACTCTCATACGCGAAAGCTGCAAACCAAAGCAAGCGAAAACATTCACCCGCTGAACAAACCGATCCTCACCAACTCAGCTGTCCATCTTTTGATCTGAAACAACCCAAGACTGCTGCAAACCCCGACCCCAGCAATCCGATGTTGGTTGTTGTTTTTACTCCGGCACCCCCCCAAAACACACCAAAAGCCTTCAAAAGAAAGATCTTGCGCTCAAAACACCTTCGAACGATGTCCTCAGATCCCATCCCATTATCCAGCCGTCATCGGTACAACTGCATCGGCAATAGTAACTATCGGCTCCAAGAGTTAAACTACCGGACACACCGAAATCCCGGAAGCTGCCGCGGCACCATCCATGCGTAGGGAAGGACCAGCAAGCGCAACAGCAAAGCTAACCTGATCCAAAACAGCCGTGGCCACGGCTTCGGATTCTGGATTCTGCAGAATCTAGCCTTCGCATCCAGAGAGATTGATTCCTGCCCACGAGAATTGAAACTCCAGAATGCATGTTTCAGCTTGATGTAGACGCTCACTTTCAGACAATGGAAGCAGGCAGCCCTGAGTGTTCTGAGATCCACTTTGAGCTTCTGCTTCTGTTGTGTGGTCGGGTGATGCGACGCAGCAAGTTTCGACTCACACACCCGCACCAAGCAGGCACGGCTTCACCTCGTCCGAGCAGCTAGTTTGGGTTTAGGGTCTCGACGTTCAGGCTGCCAGCCGAGGTATAGAAGATTTTAGTGACTCCGAATCTTTGGTCCTGGGGCTTTTGCCAGCAGCAATTTTTTCTCCACCGGGAAGAGTCTTTCTGAGGTGTTTCCCGGTTCAATTCAATAGATCAGCTTAGGTCTCCGGTTCTTCCTATGCACCACTTGGGCTGAGGTTCTGAAGAGTTTCAGGTGCTGCCAAGCAGCAGGAAGTCCCACATGGTTCCGCCAAGGAGTCGGAACACCAGCACAGCAGGTGTCGACAACTGGGCAGTGCGAGTTTTGTGTGCATTGATGGAAAACATGGCTTGATTAGGATTTGGGGACAGAGGTGGCAGGGTTCAAGGTTCGGGTCGGCGCTTGAGCCAGTTCATGCCACCATTTCGGTCCGCAAGTAAAGTCCACGATATCTCTCCCTTGTTTTGCTTCGGTGCTTCGTTGGAGACATCTTCTCTCTCCGACGGATGAGGAGCGCAAGCAGTGCCGATTAGGGGTCAGGGCCGGATTAGGGATTTGCGGGGATTAGGGAGTCTGAGAAGCGTTTTGGGTAACACCTGGGTGACCTGGGTGCCCGCCGAAGCGACCTGCACCAGTGCGACTGCATACCAGGAACGGTAGGACCTGGAGAGTCTGTAAGTCTTTCGGGCTAACGGGCGTAGATTTGAGTCACATCTGCAGGCTGACGAAGGTGGCATCTGGGGTCGTCGAACGGCTCTCGCGTTGGGCTCTCTAGAGAGCTATACAGAACTCCTTGTAATCACTGCTTAACACGCAAGAAACGACCGAGAACTTACCGAGAATAGGAATACAGCGCTTCGACCCACCCGATACGGGAGGGCTCCAGCAGTGAATCAACGAACTCGAAGTGGGATTTGCCGTACTTTCGGAATGGAATCAAAACTTTGAAAGAAAGCCTAGGGCAACAATCCTGAATGTAGAACAGGCTGCACAATACATGATTTCCTATACTTCCAAGACCATGTCTTGGCTATGTGCATCTGGGCCTGAGCATCTCCCTCTGCACACGTCGGAGTCGATCCCAATGCCGCTTCTCGCGGTACCTCTGCGACTGCAGCTGCTCCTGAGTTGGGGGTCTTCGGGCTTCTGTAGGTTGGCAGTCGTGTGTGTTTTCGGGTTTCGGTGATGGGATGTCCGACTCGAACGGGGCGGGGTTCAAGGAACTGGGTGTCGTGTTCTCTCTTCCCGTTATGCTAAACTTATAGCCTGAAACTTCAACCCGGCCCCGTGGCAAGGGCCAAATACCAATATCTCGCCCACAGCGAAACGACTCGAAATGTCCATGGGATGGCCATTTTAAATCGACGCCTTCAACCCCAAGCTGCACAAACAAAGAGTGAAGGCCTAAAGTTGCCCAGAAAGTGAAACCCCAAACAGGCCTTCCCCAAAGCGACACTGGCTCCTGCAAGCGCTGTCGGTCTACTTTTCCAGTCACAGGATGTCGCGGAAGCCTTGTCGGAGTCTACAGTTAGAAGATGGCCTGTATATGCATCGAACCGACTGGGCATGCACATAAGTACAAACACAAACAACTACATAACGGCGCACGTGATATGTATTAAGCCTGTGCAAAAACAAAATACATACACACACAGGTACGGTATGTGTGTATGTATGTATGTACATGTGGTAGGTATATGCACAGAGAGAGAGAGAGAGAGAGAGAGCGAGAGCGAGAGCGAGAGCGAGAGCGAGCGAGAAAAAAAGGGGCCGCCCCGCTGAAAGGTGGAGGGGGGTGGGGGTGGGGTCGGCATTGGCATTGATTGGGTGGGGCACCTATTTGATAATTTTTGTGTTGGGGGGGTCTGACCATTGTCATGGGTGACATCTCGCAGATGTCCGCAGAGGGGGCGATCCCTCCACGAAAAGCTGATTTCGATGGTGTTATTACTAGGCTACTCTATACTAGAGACAGGACACGTTTTAGCCGGAAAACTTACGCTGAGGTGCTAAAGAGGCGGCGACTGAGAGGGGTCTGTGATGCCTTTAAATAGGGCAGGCCACGAAAAGCTGAGTTTGGTGGTGTTATACTACGCTACTCTAAGGATAGGATACGCCGGATCCCTTTTGCGTACTATACTCCTACTTAAAGTACATCCTATATGTTGCCTTGAAGGGATAAATAGGTGGGGAGCGAGAGGGGTCTGTCTGTGATGCTTGGGACAGGGCAGGTAATAGAGGAGAGCGAGGAGGGTAGAGCCACCCCCCCGCTCCAAGGCAACACTCCTTCGCAGGATCACAAACAGATTCCCTTGAATGGAGATGACACACTGAACCCTTCACATAATAGGCGGGGATCCACCCCGTAAATAGGTGGATGAAGGTAAAACCCCCTATTGCCACAATATTAAGCGGGGGCTCTGAAACAAACAACGACATGCAGATCTAGCGAGAAACCAGCAAAGCCAAAAAGGAGGGAGACAAAGAACAAGCACACAACGAAGAAACGCATGAACAGAAGGACGTAGGGCAATGACAGGAAAATCTGGCAGCAGGAAACTAAAATGACAAGCATCACCCTCACAGCATAGTGGCAACGACAATTGCAACGTTGATCAGCTTAGCACACATGATCTAACAGCAAGAAACATGACAAACATGACCGGCAGAGCACCAGCAGCAGCACCAGCTCCAGCAGCAGCACCAGCAGCAGCAGCAGTAGTAACTTAGTAGTAGTAGTAGTAGTAGTAGCAGTAGTAGTAGCAGTAGTAGGAAGAGGAGTAGTAGGAGTAGGAGTAGTGGTGGTAGTGGTGGTAGTGGTAGTGGTAGTGGTCGTAGTGGTAGTGGTAGTAGTAGTAGTAGTAGTAGCAGCAGAAGAAGTAGTAGTAGGAGGAGGAGGACGTCCTTCAAGTACTTGTTGCTCCTCCTCCTCCCTCTCCTCCCCTCCTTCGATACCCTTACTCCTACCCCTACCCCAATTTCTACGGCTACTACTGCGGCTGCTCCTGCCCTTTGTGACTTGAGGCTTCAAGATGCGTTTGCCTCCCGGGTTTCTAGATCCAAAAACAAGCGGATTGAGGCTTCTTGTTTCGGCATACCTTGATCGTACCGGCTAGGACGACACCCCAAAACAAGGAAACGACACTTTCCTCCCATAGCCACGGGACGCATTTCGAACATTCAGTCGAACACCGGATCCTGACAGATCCAGGTATAATTCAGCGCGACTGCGGTCTGTGATGCCGGAGTGTTGTACGGTGAAAGAGTGCTGTACCATGCAGTACATTTTGGAAACTCAAAACAAACAGAAGCAAACCCCCAGAGAGCTGCCCTAATGAAGTGCATGGCTGTTGCTGTTGCATCGGTCCCGTATAAAGGAGACTAACATTGTCTGGGCATCCGAGGGATTCTTTTCAGAGGTTGAAACGCTTGAACCTAAGCCCCATTATGGCAGTGGCATGGAGGGCTTGTCGTCGGCTTCGAGCTCTAACCCGAAAGCGCAAGCTTGACACGATAATTTCAGAACCGCAGCTCGACTTCTACTCTGATGTCATAGCACCAACACTCGAGACCTTTGCGCAAAAAAGGGACGGTGCTATCAGCGTTACTGAGTTTATAGCTTCCAACTGCTTATGTGAGCACGTCTGTGCTCGCTGTTCGTTTGTTGACAGAACCCGCAGTGTGCTCTCCCTAGGTTCTGTGTGGTTTGGCTTGGTGATCTGGACAAGGTGTGCGCAAGAGATGCTGTGAGCATTGCCTGTTGGAGCTACTTAGTGGTACGGGCTTCACCTGTACTGAAAGTTTGCTGATCAAGCGGTTCTAAGCCAGAGGCCCCAGGCCCTAGAGCCCTAGAGGCCCTAGACCATAGACCCATTCAAAAGAACCTGACAAGCCAACCTGCTGCCCGCGCCGCCGCCGACAGCGTCTCCGTGAGAGGTCGCAACCTAGGACGGAGCCCTTGTTTGCTCCTTAAAAGCTCGGAAGTTCGGTCTATCTCCAGAAGTTGGCCGGGAGCTACAAACAGAAAACCAAAACAAGATTCCAAGGTTCAACGTTTCACCGGGTTAGGTTTCATCGGCGAAGCTGGAGCCTGCTAAGTTTAGTGTCTTGTTTTCAGTGCTTGAGGTTTGCAAGACTTGAGATGCAGAAGGGAAGGCTGTTTCCGATCCCTGGGATTGCAGACTGCCTAGGGACCTGCACCTGCGGCGAATCGATTTACTGGTGTGTCTTCAAGCTTTGCTCGAGCTTTGTTTGAATCACTGGGGCCTTGCCTTAACCCCAACCTTACGCCCGCAACTGTCCAGGAGTCCAAATCCTTCCATCGCGCACAACGGCCCCCACCCGATACCCCGGTTCAAATTGCAAGAATGACAGCCCCCAGTTCCCCAAATCTCGAGACCGACATATCCGAATAGGCATGTTGAGCCCTAAGGGTGCGAGGCATGCTTATCACAACAGCAGCAGCCATCCATGGCATGAGTCTCGTTTCTGTCACAACCAGAGCAAATCCACAACACTTCCCCAAGTTCAATTTCCCAAATCGAGTACCATGCCCATCGTTCCACGTTGAAAAACAGCTCAAATGCACGACCGGCCCCATGAAACTGACGATCTTTGTTCTTTTTGCCGACCACGCCACAACGCCTCCTCCTCACGGGCGCAAGGTGCAGCTCAGTCATATTTCGAAAGTCATCAAAGTTTCGCTGTGTTGTGCTCTCCGTGCCATGTAGCAAAGACTACACACACACACTTACTTAAGCCCTACTCCACTTACTAGCCTCGGTCTTGCTCGAGCCCTCGCACGGTTAACTCAGAGTTGGTCTTCTGCTCCGCTGAATGTCTAACTGACACAACGCCCACAAGTCCTTGCGAACTTAGCTGCTTAGTTCAGTATTCATTTGCTTCGTCTACTACTTGGTTTACAGATGGTATGCTGTGGCGTTGCCAGTGTTATCAGTGAATTAGCCGAACATCGGCGGTGGCTATGGCAAAGCCGCTAACATCTCAACACATGCCTGGTCCTACGGAATGCATTCAAGCGCGAACTCAGCAGCCAAGCTGACACCCATCCAAACATAATTCGCCCGAACCTCAGGATTTTGTTCTTCCAAATCGGGCTGAACCACCTTGTTGCATCCAGGCCTCTTCGAACTGCCGGGTACCCCTAGATCAAACCAAGACCACCTCAAAATGAAACCCTAGGCATTGGCCTCCAGGGTAACGAATGCCTGCAGGCAGTTCGAGCTGCGGTGTCGGCTTAAAGTTAGCTCGGCCTCAGGCTCTTCCGCCTTCAAATTCTGGGCTGCGGGTTTTTTTGGAATCTAGTCCAGCGGAGCCCGGTTCCCCTAGAGTGCGTGGTTTCTTAGCTCTGCCGAGGGGGAGTGTTCGAGCATCACGGAGTGCGAGCAACCAGGCTATGCGCTGGCATAGCTGGGCGCACCCAAAGGCCTTTTGCGACCATGCTATGGCCTGCAAGTAGAGCTTAACAGATGGTGGCTTCGTGTGTCAAAAATGTCACATTGCCTGTTGGCACGCCTTGTTCTCATGGGAATCCTTCATGCGCTCAACATTCTGTTCCGCGGCTTAACAACTACATCTAAAGACGCCAAATTGATAAACCCCTTTATATGCCAAGCCCTAACACTTTCCCGCACTCTACGCCAAAACTCCAACATCCCACAAGCCACAGGCCTCCCAGAAGGGCATGCTGTTTTTCTTATGCCGTGGGCTCTCCCCTTGAGCTTCAGTCTGATCAGTTGTGACTTGCAAAGCTCACCACGCTGTGCATGAACATACATCATCATCTACAGTGCATAAGGGTCCAGGATTGAACCAAAATCGAAACATCCATTAAAACGGTTTTGATGTCGCAAAATATTGAAACCCTGTGGAACCTGCAAACCCCTCATTGTGGATATTCTGTCAAAACCTAGGCTCCTGCAAGCTTTTTGGAAAGCACCCGGCGTGCCCGTGCTGTTAAAGGAACGATTTTTGGCCCACTGCACAGTGGCCAAAATCAGAAGCCAAAAACAAGGCCGTAAACCTAGTTCAAATAAAAAATTCATTTGCCGTGGGTCGGCAAAACCTAGGTTTGCACCCGCAGAACCAAATCCCGAAAATCCATCCTAGCTGCGTGAGCCCCTGAAAAAATGGCTTCGATCCCCAGATTTCTGAAAACCCTATGGAACCTGCAAAACCTAGGCACCTCCAAGCTTTTCGAGCGCGCCCCTTGCGGTTTCGGCACTGGTTTCTGGCCCACTGCCAGGTAGCCTTAAGGGCAAACTCCGAGGCCTCAAAAGAGCCGTAAACCTACTTAAACAAAAAATGCATTTGCCGCGGCTCGGCAAAACCTTTAGGTTTTGACCTTCAAAGCAAACTCCCGAAAATCCATTCGAGCTGCCTGAACCCCTCAAACATGGTTTTGATGTTGGCAACTCTGAAAACCCTGTGGAACCTGCAAAACCTGATTTTGGATATTCTGCTCAAACCCGGGCTCATAGAGGCGGTTGTGCTGTTTTGGGAACGGTTTTGGCCTGAAAACCAAGCAGTGATGTCAAAAATCCAAAAAGTCCTAAGGAACCAAGGTCTGTAGCGATACTGGTCCAACGATTCATTACCGTCCTACTTGGCCAGTGTCGCCACGTACGAACAGGCTGTCAGTTAGTGCTAGCGACAGGACAGCAACAAGTGTACAACCAAAAAATAAGCCCATCTGACAGCAGTCCTCCAGTAAAGCAATCGTTTTATACCAGAATCTTTCAGGGTTCCTGCCTTTTTACCGGAACATTGCAGAGTTTTCCTCCCCTTGACGTGCCACATCGAAGGCAGTAGACGGTCGGTTACAAGACCCTTCCTGCAACATCAACGGAAAACCCGATGCCGAAAACGTTCTAAACCGATCTTCACACGCGGATTTGCCTTTGGGAACGTTTTCTTTAATGGAGGCTAGTTCCTTATGATTGGTTCCTCAAGGTGATCTCTTCGAAAACATTGGCATGATGACTAGTTTTGTCTGTAGCTTGTAGAGTTTATTAATGTCCAGGCTTGCAACGGTCGGCGCAGCGGCACAAAAAAACATGCCAGTTTCGATCTGCGAACACTCCTAACGTGTAAGTATCGCAGCAGTGTCATCATGCTGCTGATAGAACGGCCGGACAAATGGCGACGGCTTTGTTCCTCAGGATGCGCTTCAAAAACCTATTTAAGCGTTGCAAAGAAAAAGTACGGTTCGCAGACAGGCCAACATTAAAAAACAAAACGCGGCCCATCCAGCTCAATCGGGCCCACTCCCCACCGCCGTCCCACCTGGCCCTTGCACCACAAGCTCGAAGCAAACGCTTAAACATAAACAAAAAGTCAGAGTCGCACTCCGGCCAGCATAAAAACAAGTCAGGCTTGGCTAAATGGGGCCAAAACCCCTGCTCAGTGGGACCCCCCCCCGGTCCCACCTGGCCCATGGAGCCTAAGCAGGAGACGGGGCAGCATAAAACAAGGCCAGCTTAGCATGAAAACGGAAACCGCTAGCATAGATGGAGAAACCTCGGGCATAAGAGGAGAACCCATGAGCATGGAGGTCGATGGAGACATGGAGGTGGCCAGCATAAACATAAAAACCTTGAGTCTTGAGCATAAAAATTAAGATCCAGCCCCTCCCAGAAGTCTACAGCCCTTGGGCCTCGAGGGCTTCGGGTCCGGAGAGGACGGTCCCTTCTGCGACGCCCGGAGTGGCGGCCAAAGAAGTGGCCAAGGCCTAAGCTAAAAAGCACCGCTTCGGGTTCCGTCTACGGCTTAGGCTTCCTCCAGGGCTTTTCAAAGGTTCTATATTCTGATTTTGAGTTTTGAAGGCTTTCGAGTCTTAAGGCTTGTTACTATGATTCTTGTCGTTTGTGGCCGTGAGCAGTGCCGGTCCTGCTCGTCTTACTTGATCTTGATCTTTCTGCCATCACTGTTTATCTTCTCCTTTGGTGTACACATCCAATCATAGATCACCATAGCCACTACTAGTACTACGGTTCATTGAACAATTGGTTCTGGAAGCATCGTGACTTGTGAGTTTCTAAAGTTCTACAGAGAACTGCTCAAGTCTTCGATCTGACACTGAATTTAAAGATGGCTGAACATGACAAGCTCCGAAACTTATCAGTTGGGCGAACTCTTCAACGTGATAGATTGGTTCTGGAAGATATAGGCTTGAGATACAATCTGTTCTGCTGGGGGATGAGGCTTCAAGATGGTAGAAGTCGGGGAATCAGAATCCACACTCTCAGGTGCATTTCACCTGCAGGTTCCTGGCCTCGATATCCACGAACTGACCGCCGCGCTTTGCCAATGAGCCAAGGCGTCCGCAGAAGACCAAGCGCCCAGCCTTGAAGTGAAAACCAAACGCTTTTCACCAGCCCTGTCTACAGCACATGAGTGCTCAAAATTGCAATAGTTTTCTTGCAAGGTGGTGGCGTGGAGCGGAACAGGCTGCAGGTACGATAAATACACACACATCTAGACAGCAGGTTGTGGCGTTATGCATGGTCTCGAAACCATCCTCGACCAAGGACAGAACTGCCTCAAGGGATGGTCACAGGACTTTGAATCTTCGCCCTCTGCTACTCGGCTACCTACTACCTATGTAAGTCCTGTCTATGTCCGTGCGCATAGGTCCTTCTCTACGACGTGGAGGACATCTAGCATGACTCGGACATCTGGTCAAGGCAAGCATCTCCAACTGCATCCTGCCGACCCAGTACATAAGGGGACTGTCGTCCTATTCTGGGGCAAAAAGAACTGAGTACAGAACTTCTCCTGAGAAAAAGAAGAAAGAAGGCTCGTGCAAAGCTGGCGAAGCCAGACACACTGCATTGAGTGGACTGACTGGCGGTGATACACAGCCCTGATACAACGGCTTCTCGCAGCGAAGCCAGCTCAAGGGCCACCGAACTGCAAACCGTGGCACCCCCACCGATCGGAGGCGATCATGTGTTCGCAGGTACCGCGTGCCCTTGAAGCAGCATATGCCTGAAAACTTTGATTGTTCGGCATCTGTGGACGATCAAGGCTTTGTACGTGGTATTGTTTGGGTAGAGAGTTTCAAGCAACTGGTGATTGTAGAGGGCATTCTCTAAATATTTTCGCATTCTGAAACCATTGGTGTATTGCAGGCTTCAGGTGTAAATAAAGCGCGGATATTTATAGCCTGCTTGATCCATTCATGCAGGCCTTAACACCAGCGCAAAGGGGGTGACAGGTCAGCCGCTTCGTCCCTCCCGCAGCAAGAGCACTCGTCAGGAGTGGTAAGCACAGTAACAGGACTGGGTGAAGACTCAAGTCAATGCCTCTACTCGAAGAAGCCTGGATCGCTGTGGCAATGAAGTACTTTACCAGTCACTGAAAGGTGTTCCGGAAGCGTCCGACATTGGGGGTATGGCAGTTGCTTGTTCGGTCGAGTTCTGCACTTTATCGTCCCGTTTTGGAACTGGAGAGAAGACATTGTGTCGATCTTCGGGCTTGTTAGCTTGTGATTTTCTGATCGATGATAGCCCTCGAATTTTGTTGAAATCCGTACGCCTGCCAGGAGCTGAAGCCCTGCACAGCTCTATGCAAGGCGAAGCAGCTTTCAGCATCGCTGACTGTGGCCACCCTGAAGGCAGGTTGCGAGCATTCTGGCTCTCGAAACTTTGGGGACTATGTGTTCGTTGAAAGCACACTCCTCCCAGCTTCTCCCAAAGAAATCCGGAGAGCCACGCACCCATAATAACGATCATGGTAGAACTTCAGATTCAATGTGGATTTAACTTCGATTTTATGCCTTTGCTGTGTGTGGTTCAGGTGCGCGGCTGGAGGGCTTAGATGGCTTAGATTCGAATTTAATGCTTTACGGTCATTTACGGTGGCGAAGGCATAAATTCGAATTTAATTCCACATTGAATCATGTCCCGGAATGGAGGGCGATTGGATTTGAATTTAATCTCCCATGGGTTGAGGGATCTGAAATTTGGATTTACCGGCCCTTTCCAACGCAAGGGACTTATTCGAATTTAATCCGGGAATGCCGACTGAAGCTTAGATCCAAATTCAAATCTGCAGGTTGTCCTCGCCGCAGGGTTTGAAATCGAATTAAAATGCTCAGGCTTTGGTCCTTGCAGGGTTGAAAATCGAATACAAAGAGACTAGAGAATTTCGAAAAAGCCAAGAGAAGTGGAAAACAAGGAGCAAACCGCCCGAAAGGAACTAGATAATCTCAGAAGAAGGAGCAAGCCGCTCGAAAGATACTAGAGAATTTCGAAAGAGACTAGTGAATGTGAAAACCGGGAGCACAACGCTCGAAAGAGAGTAAAGAAAATCGAAAAAGACTAGAGAACATGAAAGGAAGGAGCAAACCGCTCGAAAGGAACTAGAGAGTTTCAGAAGAAGGAGAGACTAGAGAATTTGAACACAAGGAGCAAGTCGCTCGAAAGAGACTCGATAATTTCGAAAGACTAGAGAATTTCAGAACAAGGAGCAAACCGATTGAAAGAGACTAGAGAAAAATTGAAATCAAGGAGCAACCCGCTCGAAAAGAACTTGATAATTTCAGAAGAAGGAGCAAACCTTTCCAAAGAAACTAAAGACTTGCGGAAGGGACTAGATAAATTCAGAGCTAGGAGCAAACCGCTCGAAAGGGACTAGAGTAACTAGAGAATTGCAGAACAAAGAGAAAACCGCTCGAAAGAGACTAGGGAAACTCGAAATGACCAGACAACATGAAAACCAGGAGCAAACCGCTCGAAAGGAACTAAAGAGTTTCAGAGCAAGGAGCAAACCGCTCGAAAAAAAAACTGGAGAATTTCGAAAGAGACGAGAGACTTTGAACACAAGGGGCAAACCGCTCGAAAGGAACTAGAGAATCTCACGAAAGGGACTGGACAATTAAAACCGGAACTAGAGAAATTGAAAACAACGAGCAAACCGATCGGGCGGAATTAGAGAATTTCAGAACAAAGAGCAAGCCGCTCGAAAGAGACTGGAAAATTTCGAAAGAGACGAGAGAAATTGAAAACAAGAAGCAAACCGCTCAAAAGGAACTGGAGTAACTAGAGAGTTTCAGAAGGGGCAAAACGTTCGAAAGAGACGAGACATTTCGAAAAAGGCCAGAGCAATTGAAAACAAGGAGCAAACCGCTCGATAGAGACTAGCTTTTTCGACAGAGACTAGAGACTTTGAGCGCTAGTCCCTTTCGAAATTCTCTAATCGCTTTCGAGTGATCTGCTCCTTGTTCTGAAATTCTCTAGTTCCTTTCGAGCGGTCTCTAATCTCTTGCGAAATTCTCTAGCCTCTTTCGGGCGAATTGCGCCTTGCCTGAAACCCTCTAGTTCCTTTCGAGCGGTTTGCTCCTTGTTCTCAAATTCTCTAGTCTTGTTCACGCGATTTGCTCCTTGTTCTGAACTTCTCTAGTTCCTTTCGCGCAGTTTGCTCCTTGTTTTCAATTTCGAAATTCGCTAGTCTCTTTCGAGCAGTTTGCTGCTTGTTCTGAAATTCTCTAGTTGCTGTCGGGTGTTTTGCTCCTGTCTTTCATATTCTGTAATATCTGCCGAAATTCTCTAGTCTCTTTCGAGCGGTTTGCTCCTCTTCCTGAAATATTCTAATCTCTTTCGAGCGGTTTGCCCCTTGTCCTAAAAATCCCTAGACCCTTTTGAGCGGTTTTCTTCTTTGTTTGAATATCCTCAGTTTTTCCAAGCGGTTTGCTCCTCTATCTGTCCCTTTGCAGCGGTTTGTTCTTCTGTTTCAATATCTGTAGTCTCCATCGGGCGGGTTGCTATTTTTCTGAAAATCTGTAGTTCGTTTCGAACGGTACCGGTTTGCTCCTTGTTTTCAAACCCTCTATTCTTTTTCGAACTTCTCTAGGTCTCTTTCGAGCAGTTTGCTCGTTGTTCTGAAACTTTCTAAGTTCCTTTTCGACTGGTTTGCTCCTTGTTTCCAAACTCTGTAATGTCTTTCGAAATTGTCTAGTCTCTCTCGACCGGTTTGCTCATTGTTGTCAGTTTCTCTAGTCGATTTCGACAATATCAACTCTTTCGAGCGGTTCGCTCCTTGTTTTCAACTTCTCCAGTCTCTTTCGAAATTCTCTGGCCTTTTTCGGGCGGGTTGCTGCTTGTTCTGAAATTCTCTACTTCCTTGAGCGGTTTGCTCCTTGTTTTGCACTTCTCTATTCTCTTTCGAAATTCTCTAGAGTCCCCCGAGAGATTGGCTCCTTGTTCTGAAAATTCTCTAGTTCCTGTGGAGCGGTTTGCTAGTTGTTTTCAGTTTCTCTAGTTGAAATCGAAAGTCTGTAGTCGCTTTCGAGCTTGCTCCTTCTTCTGAAATTCTCTAGTTCCTTTGGACGGTATGCTCCTTGTTTTCCAAATTCCGTAGGCCTTGTTCTGAATTTCTCTAGTTCCTTTCGAGTGTTGTCCTGCGTGTTTTCAGCCTCGCTAGTCTCTTTCGAAATTCCCTAGGCTCTTTCGAGCGGCTTGCTCCTTGTATTGAAATTCTCGAGTTCCTTTCGAGCGGTTTACTTCTTGTTTTCAATTTCTCTAGTCTGTTTCGAAATTCTCTAGTCTCTTTCGAGCGGTTTGCTCTTTGTTCTCAAATTCCCTAGTCTCCAAATACTCCAGTTTCTTTTGAGCGGTCTGCTCCTTCTTCTGAAATTCTCTTTTCCCTTCGAGCGGTTTGCTCCTTGTTTTCCACTTCTCAAGTCTGTTTCGGAATCCTCTAGTCTGTTTCCAGCGGTTTGCTCCTTGATTTCAAACTAGTTTATTGCGGAATTCTCTAGTCTCTTTCGAGCGGATGGCTGCTCCTTCTGAAATTCGCTAGTTCCTGTTGAAATGCTTGCCCCTATTTATTCACTTCTCTAGTCCTGTGTTCGAAATTTTCTAGTCTCCTTCGAACCATTTGCTCCTCGTTCTGACATTGTCTAGTTCTTTTCGATCGGTTTGCTTCTTGTTTTCAATGTCTCTAGTCTCTTTCGAGCGGCCTGCTCCTTCTTCTGAAACCCTCCAGTTCCTTTCGAGCGGTTTGCTCCTTGTTTTCAAATTCTCTAGTCTCTTTCGAGCGGCTTGCCCCTTGTTCTGAAGTTCGCTAGTTCCTTTCCAGCGGTTTGCTCCTTGTTTTGAATCTAGCGAGTCTCTTTCGGGCGGTCTGCTCCCTCTTCTGAAGCTCTATAGTTCCTTTCGCGCGGTTGGCGCCTTGTTTTTCGAACTCTCTAGTCCCTTTCGAAATTACCTTCTTCTGAATTCCTCGAGTCTCTTTCGAAATTCTGTAGTCTCTTTCAAGAAGTTTGCTCCGTCGTCTGAAATTCTCTACTTCCTTTCGAGCGGTTTGCCCCTTGTTTACAAGTTCTCCAGTCTCTTTCGAGCGGCTTGCTCCTTTTTTTGAAGTTCTCTAGTCTCTTTCGTGCGGTTTGCTCCTTGTTTTCAAACTCTCTAGTCTCTTTCGAAATCCTCTAGTATCTTTCGAGCGGTTTGCGCCTTATTCTGAGATTCTCGAGTTTCTTTCGGGCGGTTTGCTCCTTGTTTCAATTTCTCTAGTTTCCTTGGAAACTCTCGAGTCTCTTTCGAGCGGTTTGCTCCTTCTTTTGCAAATCTTTATTTCCCTTGGAGCGGTTTGCTCCTTGTTTTCAATTTCTTTAGTCTTTTCGAAATTCTCGAGTCTCTTTCGAGCGGTTTGCTTCTTCTTCTGAGATTCTCCGGTTCCTTGCGAGCGGTTTGCTCCTTGTTCTGAAATTGTCTACTCTCTTTCGAGCGGTTTGCGCCCGTGTTCTGAAATTCTCTAGTTCCTTTCGAGCGGTTTGCTCCTTGTGCTGAAATTACCCAGTTCCTTCCGAGCTGTTTGCTTTGTAAGTTCAACTTCTTTAGACTCTTTCAATCGCTCCTTGTTCTGAAGCTGCTTAGTTTCTTTCGAGCGGTTTTCTCAAGTCTCTTTCGAGCGGTTTGCTCCTTGTTCTGAAATTATCCAGTTCCTTCCGAGCGGTTTGCTCATTCTTCTGAATTCCTCGAGTCTCT